ATTTGCTGAGGCAGACCAATCGGGCATTTTAGAAAAGGGAAGGGCACTTTTCGCCGAAGGCCCCTAGACTAATAAAGCGACGCTCGCCCCTATCGAATAAAGTAAGGAGAGGCGGCAATGCAGATTTAGTTGACGTAAGTGAAGGAGAAGATGAATTGGACGGAGAGGTCCGCATCGATGAGGAAGGCACCATTGGTTTTTATCGTGCAACTTTGGAATCTGATGGTGTTTTTCGTAGCAGTCCATATGATCTAACTCGTAATGAAATTCATCAGTCTGCTGTTACAGCAAGTGAAGAGAAGATAGATCTCGAGTTTCAGTTTGAAGCCCTAAAGTCAGCTTCTTTTAGTTGAATCCCACCCCTGGTCTAAGCCATTCAACGTGTTTAAGCTAGTGCTTCTGTCTTCTCTGCGATTGAAGTTGCAGTGGTAAGCTAATCCCTTGCAGTCTCAGTCCCTGTCTAACTAGATCTCTTTAGAATGCTATAGATTTCCACGATGGTAGGGCTTTAGATAAGATTGGCATTATTATTTTTTTTAATAGATGGAGATTTCCCAAGGAGTAAACCTTTTCTTCCCCCCTCCAAGCGGGATATCAACTCCTCCTTCGGCAAGAAAAGGCACTACTACTGCGGATGAAAACGAGAACTCAATAGCTCACTGGCTTTCTCACAGGAATTTTCCTTTGCTCGATCCGCTTTCTTTCAAACGGGAAAGCTTACTTCTCCTTTTGATGAGAATTCATACTATAAGGGGTCCAGAAAGCAAGGTAAGAAAACAGCCTATTCTATTCTATAAAATCCTCCATAAGCGTCTTATATAGGTCTTATAACAACCTCGTAGAGTCTTCTTTCATTTTCATATGGGCTTCTCGGCAGGATCGAATGTCAGGGAACCTTTCCTTTTCTAGTCGTCTTTTGTATGACTGTACTAATAGATTAAAAAGATGAACTCAATAGTAAGAAGAAAGAAGATTGAATAGGGAAAACCCAATCGCAGGGATGGCAGAAACTTCCACTCCCCCTGACAAAGGCTCTGGCTTTCAGGCAACTCGAGCTGATGATAGAACGGACTTCTCTAAGGGCAGCACTCCAAAAAAAAGTAGGAAAGGGCTCAAACTTCAACCGCTAAAAGCCGAACTAGCACTTTCCGGTATACCAAGTTAAGCCAAGACCACGGGCAGTTTAACAAACGAGCAAGAGGGGATACCAAAATGAACGAGAGTCGATCTAATTCCGGTTTGGGGCTGAATCAATAATTATTCATGCTAAGACAACGGAGTGGGTAAGCTTACCGCCGCCTTAAGCCAAGGGCGTTTAGCAAGAAGAATAATAAACCATAGGGGGATATCTGATCCTGCCAAGGGAAAGAGAGTCAGACTGCGATGTCTATCCATAGCGCTATCCTCCTCAATCGTACCATACCATTCTTTCTTACAAGCCTTTGAGAGCCATTTGCTTGTTTTCGCCCGGGGAACTCTCTTTCTTTCTTTCTTCGCCAGTGCAACCTATTCGTCACGTGAAAGCGTCGAAAGCCTTAAAGAGCTAGTCTTCATACCTGGAATGAGACCGTAAGCGTGCTTCCTTGTCTCAAGTTGGACTATTCCATCATAACCTTCTTTTTTACGCCATCCCCTGTTTCCACACCTCAGCTTGCCTGGTCGAAAGATTGAATCATCCATCTCTATAAGCGGGAAGTCAAACTAGTGAAGTATACTATACGAGAGAGCGAGGACTGATAGAAGCCGGACGAGCAGTAGTGGAAGCTCAATCCAGTCTTTCACTCAACCGGTGCTGCTATAGAGAGTGATCTGGGAATAGAAGACAAGCAGTATAGTGGAAAGCCAGTGTCGCTTCCAAGCGCTAATATCTTGCTAATATACTGTGTAAAGGTAAGGAGTAAGGAGTGGTTAAACAAGGGACTCTATCCCCCCAACTCATCTGAGACAGTCTTTAAGCCCTCGTGCAGAGCCTTAAAAGGCTGCTTCGGAGAAGCTTGTGGATGATTCATCATATTACTTGTTAACGGAGGTTTTCCTGTAAGTACATTGAGAATGGTAAGTCCCCGGAAGATAGAAGACAAGCAAGTAGAAGCTCAACTCAATCCTGTGTTAACAGCAGCTAATAGACAGTCATCCGGGAAGACAAGCAATCAGTATAGCTCTCTCAAAGCGCTAATATACATAATAAGAGAGTTCCCCGTACTCCTAGCCTTTGAAAGTCACTCGCTGATGCGGAATCGAAGAAAGAGCTTCTATCAGTCCTCTCTGTCTCTCGTCTGAGGAAGGGAAGAATTCCCGGGCTAGTCTTGTTTACGAAAGGAGTTTCAAAGCCTTAACTGGGGGAGAGGCATAGAAGAAGTAACAAAGGGCTGCTTTCGACGCTTGAACTTGACACTTTTAGGCAGCACTTAAGAAGAACTAGCTCCGGGATTGTTGTGTATGATGAAAAAGTCTCAAAAGAAGACCAGGTGCTATTCTCTTAGGCAAGAGGAGTGGAAAGAGATGAAACAAGATCCGACGCAGCTGCTAAGAAAGAGTCTAACTCAACCAATAGCATGTGAAGAACAGGCGCAGTCGTGTAGTAAGGGGCTAGTCCCGGGGGGAAGAAAGAAGCAACAAACAATGCTCAGTGAGTGAAGTCCCCCGACTAAGTCCCTACTCCGTTTCTGGCGTCGTTAAACGGAGCTTTAACAGTACTATGAGAAAGCCCCAGGATTTGAATCGCGACTGGTCCGGGATTCTCTGTCTCAGATGCGGGACAGATAAAGAAGAGAAAGTAGAGACTGGCTATTCACTGGCTTGGCTGCTTACTCCACGAAGAAAGAGAGCAGGAATCAAACCTCGAAAATAAGTCTTCCGAAGAAAGATTCCCGGAATCAAGGAGTAAAGAGGGATTCGGCTTAAGAGAGTGAGTTGGTTGAGGGCCTATATTTCTTAGATCGAGTGACTGGCCCCTAAAGTAAAGGGAGGAATTCCTTTACTTCTATCTCTGTTGGTTGGCGATTTGCCTTTGAGCGAGTAAAGTAAATCCTATCAGCCTGTCAGCTCAGCCAGTGAAGTTACTTCCGTTCTTGGTTCACTTTACGATGTAAAAGTCTATCTTCTTTTTGTTTTAGTTCTTTCCTTCCACCCCCTATGATAAAGCTTTGAAAAACTGCCCTTTCGTAGTCGTGGAAAAAAAGTGCTTTGGAAGATTCTTTAACGTTCGTGGCAGTGAAGTAATGAATCCTATTTTCATTCTTAACTCTTTTTAAGGGTTTATAATGTAAGCAAAGACTCTTTATTACGGTCTCCGGAGAGAGGCCCCAGTTTGTCTAGGGAAAGATCACCCCTGCGCGGGGACCTAAGCCCGGAATTCCATTGAGGAAGATGAAGAGTCTTTCGATTCCTACATCTTCCCCCCAACCACAGTCGTTAGTAGATATTATGGGCCTTTTAATTCCTTGCTTATGGATGGGAACATGCCTTCTGTTAACCTCCCCTCCGGAACTTATTCAACCAATTAGTCAATCCGCCTTTCCTTTCACTCTGCCTCTTTTTCCTTTTTCTTTCTCTGGGTTGGGACTTGCGATTGATTCGCCGAGCGGGAGTGACATGACTTTGGCTATCTATGATGGTTCGGGAGTTATTGAAGCAAGCAGTAGTCATAGTGCTGGTGAGCAGGAGTCAAGTAATCCGAACGTTGCAGTCTTTTTGGGAAGCATAGTTTTGGCTGTCTTACTGGCCGGAATGCTTGCTTCCAGGATTTAATAGTGATTGGGCCTATCCTATCTAATTAGTGAGTATTTGTAGAGCCTTTTGCCGTGCTTTTTGCTTGAGTTCTTGTACCGGAAGCAAGGAATTTCTTTCTTGTTGGCAGCGAGTTCAGTTCCTCATTAGTGTAAGCGGAAACCCGGATGTCTTCGAAGTCGTGGAGCGAGGGGAGCCCGAGCGGCATTAAGAATAGCTTATATTATAAAGGAGAACTGGCTGAGCCTAGCTCGTTTAGGTCCTGCCATTCCTACCCATTTCTCATTGGTCAACTCGGGAATCAGCTATAGAATAATGGATTTTACTCATAGAAAGAGATCGGTAGTCTTATGTGATGACAAGAACTAACCAAAGAAAGAAGGACGAATCCCATTGTGTGTCCCTTTCCACTTCTGATTTGCTACCATATTCTCTATGCTATGATTGTGGGGTCTTATCTTCCTTACCCTTAAGTTAAGGGCTACATTGCATGTATATGATTTGATAACACATGCACGTCGCGTCGGACTTATTTCCTGATTATTATATATAAATTTGACGATTCTCCGAAGAGAGAGTCAAATCTACTGCTTCACATGGTACGGATTATAGGACCACAACCCCCTCTAATCTGAGGAAGTTACAGCATGAACGGCCTTTCTTCCTAAAGCCCCCTTCCCTCTTTAGGGAACTTAGCGCCCCATTGATGCTTTCTCGCGGTTTTACGCCCGCAGCTCTAAGCATCTAAGGCAAGCCGGCTTCCAAGTCTTGTCGACTCCCTGCAACGACACTAAGTTTTCCCAGGTAATTAGTACCTACTCTTCCCCGCCTACTTCCTTTCCAAGGTATGAAGGTCCTCAGAAGTAACGAGGCGCCGAATCATTTAGGTAGAACTTTATGTGATCACCTATTAGATATCTGGTTTATCTTTTGTTCTCTCTCATACTAAAAGTATGAGCTCGTTCTTTATTTTACTATTTTTGATTTTTAACTCGTTTGGTCTCGCGACTTTCTGCCTGGAAGGAGAAGATAGGTGTGCTCTACCGTAGCAACTCATACGAGCTTGTTTAAATTATGAATATCTCGCCAAGTGATAAAATGGCTAGTTGCCTTTCTTCGGTTCTGTCCATCTGTGGAAGAACAACGGAGATTATCATAACTTCGCATTCATTCGAGCTTGCCCTATTGGAAATGTGGAAGAATTCCCTTGCTAAAGCGCGTCTGGCATCCATCCCATCGCTTGTAGATCTCTAGCAAGTTCTTGCGTCTTTTCATATGTTACTGCTAGAATTCTGAGATATAATAGAAGTCCACCTTCCTCCATGGAAGGAAGGTAGATTTACAAGAGTTGGCCTTACTAATAATTTGTCCAGAAGGGCAGTGACTCGCTGCTCTAGAACTCGCTGAACTAAAATCGACATAACCTCATTGGGTGAAGGGAATACACTTTTTTGCTGCTGAACAGTATCTGTGATTTCTTTGTACAATGACGAAAGCCCTTTAGCTACATTACTAGGACTAGCATGTGCCCCATCGTCACCAAGAACCAACCTAGTATCAGCGTTCATGACTTCCACATCAATAAACATTGGACGTGTTGCTACATAATGTTGCATGGCACTTGTACCCCTATTGAACTGTGACAAAATTTTGGCACATTCAGACAAATCTCTTTTCTGTGATGCTGCATCAAACCGAGCCAGAAATCTATTCTCCAATTCATTGCAATACTCTTGTAGATTAGTAACAGCAAATTCTAATCTTTTGCTAGCAGTTGCATTTCCTATCATTGATGGGGCAGCTATGCCGTGTCCTCCAATATCTTCTTCAGCAAATGACCGTAATTTTTGGGCAACCGAAGCAGCCTCCGCAGTACGGCTGTCATCAGAAAATAGAGGAGAAAGCTTTATTAGGTTTTCTGGGCTGCTGTTGAACTCCATCAAGTACTTTATCAGCTCAATCGTTTGACTGGCTGTAACCCGTTGAGCATCTGCACTCTGAAGTTGATCTCCTATCTTTGCAGCTGTCTGGCCAACACTTGAAATACGTGAATCTAACCTTGCAAAGCTATCAAACAAAACATCTACACCTGTTTCTAGCTCAGCAAGTGTCTTACGATGCTTAGTGTCTTGGACAGAGACATCTTTCTTAAGATTGTAGAGTCTGCCATCAATCCGATTATGGGCATGCCCTGAGATGATGTCTCCCTTATTTTTTCTTCCTAGCGTAAAGTTCCCAATACCCTAAAAATAAGGTAACTTCACTCTCCTACGGAAGACGAAGAAGGATTATTAGACCGGACTATTGCGAATGACCCCGTCCCTTCGTCTCGCCACAACACAAGCTGTGGTATAATCCGTCTATACCTCACTCTGTTCTGTAAGATATGGTTTAATGTGTGAGGCCTCGCTTCACTAACAGAAATTAGAAAGACTGATAGTTACATGAAAAGGTACGTCCTGTCTGAACGAAAGGGAAAGGGTTTCACCCGTTCCCGGAAATGATTATTTTTCTGAGCACAGGTATTATTTAGAAAGTCTAACCAGTTCCTATTCTTTTCACCGCCCCTGTTTAGTGAAAAGATGGTTTATTCGCTATATAGCGATCATTTCGTATATGATCTCTTTTCTTCTCAGGCTATTGGCTTTTTATCTAACTTGATAAGATGAGTCAGTACGTTCCACGGTTAAAGACGAATCCGATCTTTCTAATTATTTCCAGCTTTCAACCACCGGTTTCTTATTCAAAACCATGCCAGAGACTCCTCAAATCAGATACTTAGCTGGTCACTCAGGGGGCCTTTGGGAACTTATCCAGCCGGCCCTATCTTCAAGTCAGTCGATTCGAAAGTAGGTTCAGCTTCACTGTAAAATGCAGGTAGAAAAACGCGGATTTAGATGCACCCAATGCAAACTATAGCAATTGATATCTCCTAGACTACTACATCGTAGAGTTGCTATCCGGAGTGAAGAAGGAAGCGGATCCCTTTTAACAACTATCATGCGCTAGATAGGCGCATGGCATGGCTCTTACTGAATTAGCTAAATTTCATCCCAGGAGGGATGCACTTTTTCTCTTTGATGATGGCCGATCATAATTCTTTCTTCCCCTCATAGAGTCGACAGACTAAGCTCCAGGTCTTATTGTAAAATATTCCCTAATAGAATATATTCCTGCGCGGTTAGTCTCGCTACCTCTTTAGTTGTCGCCCCCTACTTGCTCATAATGAACTAGAATTTCCCCCTCCCCTTTATGGCTTGCTGCTTGCGATAAGTGTAGCTTTTTTCTTTCGCAAAGCTGTAATCAATTCCATTCCAAAGCTGTAGTTCTTTACCTGAGTTTGATTTGATCGTGCTATATCCTGACTCGACCAACAGAGAGAGGGTTCTTAGAAAGAAAGACAGCCTGGCACACAACCTGGCATACGTCGATCCGACTATCAATGAATGCGTCTTCGATCGTGCGATAGGTTGGAAAAAGATTCTCCCAAGTCTTCGACTTCTGTGCTCGGTCTGCTTTCCATTCCCAGAGAATTGAGAATGAAAGCCCACTCCTATAGTATAGATAGGCCCAAGACGGATAGAGGACTCGAAAGAGCTTTATTTACACCGTTCCCTTCTTTATCGAATAGGGAAGGAGGCCGTCACTTCAAATTATACTAGGGATGAGAACAAGAGAACGCTCTCCACTAAGACTCCCGTATGATATGCGGGTGAAAGCTCCCGTTTCAGATGCATGCATTGAAGGCAGGACGCCTACCCCGGACCCTGACGTGAACGAAGCTCCAATGAGTCGCTCCTCGCTGGAATGAGGGTCGGACCGTCAATTCATCTACTCACTACCTACGCAATAACTGATCCTCGGACGGAGCCATACCTGTGTTACCAAAACTTGCTAGCCAACACCGGCTACCGCAAAGGGTTCAGTTGGTGGGTTGAAATCTCGTCACTTCTTTTGAAAGTCAAAAACGGAGTTTGGTGGCTCGTTCTAGTGCTGAAGCAGAGTACAGGGCGGACGCGAAGGCCCCGGGCCCGGATGGAACGCTCGATTTTTCATTGCTGGAACATAGTAGGAAAGGATGTGACTAGGTCCAAAACTGCTTTCGGAAGTGAACTCAACTCTCCCTTTGGAGACCCAGTTTACTGCCACCACCTCTTTGCTTCTGCGGGTTCCTTGGGACCCACTTCTGCACTATGCGTGCACGGTGGCGGGCTCGACACACGTTTGGTTGGAGAGAAAGAACAACTAGGAGCGACCAGTTGATCGAGTACACCAGCAGATCAAGACCAACAGCCCTTATTTTTTGAATGCTTTGGATTTTGTTCTTAATTGGGTATAGCTTATATTTTATTCATTTTAATTCGGTCGAGGTCCGTTGGAGATGGTATTGCACGTGTTTATGGATTGAACGGGATTCACTGGTAATTTTAATTCGAGTTGGAATCATAGTCTTTTTTTGCTATTTGTTTTAACATATCGGGGGGGATATGCCGGACAACAGCTCCACCGACCCCCGATGGGGCTCCGGCAAGTGCGCTTACTTTTTCTTGGATTGGTGTTTACTGTTTCTAAAAAGGAGCGATTGCTTGTTGGGAAGCGAGCTCAACCTTAAGTTATGAGAAAGGAGCCTAAGGTTAAGCTCACGAGACAAAGCGAGTGCTCTTTACATAATGTACGTAATGAGAGCGTCTTTGCCCCCGAAGTTCGACTTCTTTTCTTCGATCAGATTGGGACTGAAGACCAAGACTTCATATTGAGACAAGATAAGGGGAAGCTTAAGCTAGAACTTCGCAGGCTGGGAATCGGTGCCCCTAGGCTCATGAAAGAAGAGGTTCCTGCTGCTGGGGATAGAAGATGATTCCGAAAGCGAAAAGGAGATTTTTTTAAGTAAGGCAGGGCCCAAGCTTCACCCGCGTAAGACTCATAAGAGGATCTACGTCATTATTCATTCCCCATCCCGAGATGTCTAAGTAAACAGGCTTCCCTAAGCTTGAAGCAAGAATAAATGAAGTCCATCAGAAACAAGACCTGATTATTCAAATCAAAGGCTTAAAGACAGGGTCAATAGTAGTAGCCTCATCTTAGAGAAGAGGTGAGTATGAATATAAGAGACCCACCTTGGAAGACAGCTTGATGAGAGCCGGGTGGGAATCTAGCTCAACAAAGAGTCTTTCTCGTCGGACCCATATACCCATGAATGATTTCAGACTTTATCACACCTATTTCGGAGGATGGTCAACAGACTTGGGAAGTCACCTTCTTCTTTCTCATGCTATTCTATTACAATGTCTCAACTAATGCCTATTGCCTTGCAGGAAGTCACCTAGGAAGAAAAGAAATAAGCAAGAACCGGGAGGCCCATTATTAAATTCAGTGCATGAACCTATCAAGAAAACGGAATCCGATCCTTTCCTTTTAGTCGGAGTGGCGTGAAGCTCTCGCCCCTATCGAATAAAGAAAGGAGAGGGTTGGAGCTCCTTCTTATGCCGGAGCTGAATCTTTCGTTTTCGCATTTTTTCTAAGTCCTATTGAACTGACTGCTACATAAGGCTATATTTCAACCTGTGGAATCGTTACTTGAATATCGCCCTTTGAATAGTAATAAACATCAGCGTAGACTTTCGCTGCGTTGGCTTCGTATGAAAAGGGCCTTGGGTCCGCAGGGAAAACTTGAACCTGATTGTTGTGCCATAGCATGATACACTGGTTTAGGCTCGATGGCACACACATGTTCCTGTGTATTCATTCTCTTATCAAGAGTACGTTGTACTGAACAAGCACTAAGTAAGAAACCCACCTTTTGACAACCTTACTAATAGAAAGGGGAAAGATGCGCCCCTACTCGTCTAAGGAACAAGCACCGAGCAAGAAAACGGATGCGCGAGCAAGAAAACGGGGCGGGGCAAGAAAATGGAGCAAGAAAACGGCTGTGCGTTAGTACGCACTTTAGTTTTCTTGCCTAGTTTTCTTGCTCGTTGCTTGTTCGTTAGACACGCGCAGGAACAAGCAACGGAGTGAGATGAGACTGATGAATTTCAATTACAACAGTAAGAATCACATCGCATCTACTGTATGTCCTGTCTTGAGGATCGTTCGTGCCCCATCTTCACTGGATGAGTCACTTCACTACCTTAATTGCTTAAGGCAAGTTAAGGGAATAGAAGAGTAAGTGATAAACACCTTTCTTAATTGGCTTTTTTAACTTCACACATAGCTCATCAGCTTGTGACTTCGCACTCTCTGTTTCGAGATTGGGAATCGACGGAACTTCTAAATAAATGAGATGCACTTAGGACGATGTCGTGTCCATGGTGGAAGACACCTGACGGGAAGCCATGGAAGAAGAAGAACTGAAGGAGAGTTACTGAGCTAAGCTCACTGGCCAGCCTGATCAGGAAAGAACCCAGGACCTCAACCCCATGGAGATCCGGAAGTACTTTCTTGATGATGAAGATCCTATTGAAGCAGAAGATAGTATCAAACCCGCTGATCCTGAGGAAGAGGGTATCACTGTTGTCATGACTAAAGGTGGCAAGATTTCCATTCCTAGTTTTTCTTTCTCTAAGAAAAGCTAGAGCGGCTACGAAAACCCTGGCAACAATCTCTCATTGTTCAACTTCTTGGCAGAACCATCGGCAACAGGTCACTTGAGATTCGTCTTCAACAAATGTGGGCTAAAACAGGGGTCTTCTCTCTTATCTACCTGGGGAATTCTCTAAGAAAACCTAGTCATGTTCACTAGAAAGGAGGACAATGAATACGCTCTCACTGGAGGTCCGTGGCTCATATATGACCACTACCTGACAGTTCGACAATGGGAACCAGACTTTGATCCAAAGCCAGCAAGCATCAATACTGTAGCAGCATGGCTAAGGATCCCGCACTGCCCTATGGAGTATTATGATGAAGAAAGCCTCTCCTTCATTGGCAACAGCTTTGGAAGAACGATAAAGGTTGACCTCAAGACCGCCACTCAAGCCAGAGGTCTTTTCGCTAGAATTTGTCTTCAACTGAATCTTGATAAGCAGCTTACACCAGGGCTTGAATTCGAAGATAAATATTTCACTGTTGAATATGAAGGCCTTCACCTTCTTTGCCTGGAATGTGGGCGTTTTGGGCATCATAAAGACCACTGTCCTCACCGGAATTCCCCACCGGAAAAAGAAAGATAAAGTCCTCCCAAGCGTCCAAAAAAGTCAACTATGATAAGACACCTGAGTGGACAATTGTTCAGAAGCCCAGACGTCAACGTACGAACAAGGAGAAAGCAGGCCCCCTGCCCAGAAAAGCTACTCGGGTTCTAGGTTTGAAACCCTAGCAAACCTTGATAATGATGAGACTTCCGAGGAATCACGAGGTAGCCAAATGCCGGTGACTTCCCAAAAGGTACGGACACAGCCTGCAGTTGCAAAACATCAGAAGAAGGAGACAAGACGAGTTTAAGGAAAAGTTGCAGACCTCCATGCCAGAAAGTCTTGCGAAAAAAGGGCTCACTGGGGAAAACATTCAGAATACGGTGGGGAATACAAAGAGAACCCGCGTGATTACCAAAGGAGCTGGGAAAGAGAATGATTGCCCTATTACCGTTGGGCCGGGCCCAAGCGAGCCACTACCTATGCAAGAACCGACCTCCCCCAAGAAAGTCCATATTCCTCCTAAGGACCCTCAACCACCAGATGGATCCATGATCTCTTCTTCTGATATGGCTATAGACCCAGGCCCATCTCCCTGCAAAACAGCCCACACAGGATCT